AAATCTGAAATCCTAAACAACCCATACACACACTTACACTTACACTTAGGATTGATGGGTGTAATTTATAGGTTTAAGCCTTTTAGTACCCCATATCCATTTTCTTTCCAGTATTTGTCGATCTTGCCTTTAAACTGGTTGGTTGTCTTTGCATTTACCACCTCTTCTGGAAGCCCATTCCACATATCTACAACTCTCTGGGTGAAGAAATGCTTCCTTGATGATGTGTAGTGTGTGGAGATGGCAGTCTTCCAGTTTGCATTCCCGTTTACTATACTTCCTCTTTATTCATGTATGCTCTATACTTGTCGCATGTTTTGTGCATCATTGTGACGCTTTTGTGGTGCTCAGTGGTCTGTGTCAAACCGGAATGCAGAACGGAAGTAGCGTCCCTTGCCTCCAGAGCAACAGCCTCACAAGATGCCAAAACGGCACAGGAATTGGTCATGGACAGTCATGGAATTTTATTTAAGACTTCCATGAGAACCTTGCGGTTGGTTTGCATCCGTAATGTTTACTATGTGATAGCAATTGGCAGTAAAACAACACTGCTGTGATAATTTGCATGATTCAGCTGGTGTTTGTTTTCCTCACCACAATACTTCTTTTTACTGGTCCCAGAGGGCCAACCTATAATCCTCTTTGTACTTGGCTGAATGACAGTCTCACTGAATGACCGTCTGACTGACTGACTGACTGTTGCTTGCGAGTAGGGAAGTGCTAGCCTGCATGCATGCTTAAGGCTTGCAAGTATACATGCGCAAGCTTTCTGTAAGCTTGCAATCAATTATGTCGTCACATGTACATGTACAAGCTTGTCGCAAGCTTGCAAGTACGTGGGCAAGCTTGTCGCAGGCTTGCAAATACAGGCGCAAGCTTGTCGCAGGCTTGCAAATACATGTGCACTAGCTTGCCACAAGCTTGCAAGTACAGACGCAGGCTTGCCACACAAGCTCGCAAGTACATGCGCAAGCTTGGCAGAAGCTCCCATGTATATCTATGCGCAAGCTTGCCGCAAGCTCGCAAGTACATGTGCAAGCTTGGCAGAAGCTCCCAAGTATATCTATGCGCAAGCTTGCCGCAAGCTCGCAAGTACATGTGCAAGCTTGGCAGAAGCTCCCAAGTATATCTATGCGCAAGCTGGCCGCAAGCTCGCAAGTACATGTGCAAGCTTGGCAGAAGCTCCCAAGTATATCCATGCGCAAGCTTGCTGCAAGCTTGCAAGTGCATGCGCAAGCTTGGCAGAAGCTCCCAAGTATATCCATGCTCAAGCTGGCCCCAAGCTCGCAAGTACATGTGCAAGCTTGGCAGAAGCTCCCAAGTATATCTATGCGCAAGCTGGCCGCAAGCTCGCAAGTACATGTGCAAGCTTGGCAGAAGCTCCCAAGTATATCCATGCTCAAGCTGGCCGCAAGCTCGCAAGTACATGCGCAAGCTTGGCAGAAGCTCCCATGTATATCTATGCGCAAGCTTGCCACAAGCTCGCAAGTACATGTGCAAGCTTGGCAGAAGCTCCCAAGTATATCCATGCGCAAGCTTGCTGCAAGCTTGCAAGTGCATGCGCAAGCTTGGCAGAAGCTCCCAAGTATATCTATGCACAAGCTTGCCGCAAGCTCGCAAGTACATGTGCAAGCTTGGCTCAGGCTTACATAAGCTGTACCCGTGCAATCATTAATACAACCTTGCGACAAGCTTACTTCTCCATAAGGGCTATCATGTTTACCCAGTAACGTCGGTGAATGGCTAAATCAGCCCATTGTTTAGACTGATGCATGAAAAGACTTCCAGTGAAAAGTCAGTCTGAATCAATTGAATAGAATGTTGTGCACTCTGGCAATAGCTTTAGCGGGCTTGCCTTGTCCTGTAACATTCATGGAGATTACGTCATCACATGACACTCACTATATTTACTACACACACATTACTGCCCACTCCTCAAAAGACTGCACCACAGCCAAATAGCACTTTTACCCATAAACCGCAAAAGCACCCGCAGGCCAGAGTCTTAATTCTCATGTATGATGAATTGTGTGTATTTTTTCTTACGAGTGGCACAACATGTGTACAAATCAACCAATGGAAACGCATTGATGTTGACAAGCTTGGTCGGTTAGTGATTAGGTGCCGACAGATCTGTTGTTTTAAGATTAGTCCAAGGAGGAGATTGAATTTGTTTAATCTCTCGGTCTTAGAAGTTCAATGAAAAAAATATGCTTAAAAACTGAAAGCTTATCCCATGTTTAACCTTTGGGATACTTTCTACCAGGAACTCTAGGCTCTCCAATTTCTCTGAATCTAAATGTTAGGACAGGTTTCTTACGGATACGCTTGCCTAATTTCTGTCGTGAGTCAGGAACTTATTCTGTATGTATTTCAGGAACTGCTTGATTTCTGGCAGTAACTTAAGATTAAAAAACAACACAATCACACGCTAACCTGGTTTTTTTTTTTAATGTGTATTTTGACCCAGACAAATGCAAGTCTCGATGAAAAGGCCACCCCAATAAAAGTCATATCGGTACTTTCAGTAATGAGTCCAAGATTTTCAAATGTGGGGGTGGGGGATGTGGCTGGGATGTTTTTAAGTTAATGATTTTCCAGGGGATGGGGAGAGCAGTTGAATGAGGCGTTGCAGTCAACGCAGTATTAAAAAGGCCATTTTGTCCTCGCGATGGTCTGGTCCTAACCATCACGAGAAAATGATGGTAATTCCACTTTTCTTGAAAATGACAGCATACTTGGGGCAACGATTTCAATGGAAGATTGATCCTATTATCTACAATGTACTTACAGGCTGTTCCATGAAGAAGTGGACAAATTCAAAAAATTGAAATTTGTTATATCTTGAGAACTACAAGCATCACAAGAGTGGTATCAAATTAAAGAGGACAACAAGATCTTTCATTTGAGTGTTGTGACAGTGAGATGGAATGTAGTGAGTTTGGGTAAAAAAACTCATATTTTGGGGCTAAAATCGTAGCTTTTTGGTACTCATTTTGGCACCGTGTTTTAACATGCAAAACTTGAGTGTTAGTGTGAGTGTTTGTTTTGAAGGTATAGGAAAAGGTTAACATTCTATGCCAAAGGACCTTTTTGTTTGATTATTAGTTCCTTATATGTTTAAACTGGTACCAAAGATGGGCGGACAAACTGTAACGTTACTAACCATAATGAAACTAACCACATTTTATTTGTTTCAAAAGAAAGAGACTGGTTGTAAACAATTACCTGCCAAAACGTTTCCCATCAAGCAAATAGTAATGTAAATATGACACTTTGTTTCAGGTATATCCCATTTGAGGAAACTTTTTAAGCAAAGACATTACTTTTTTATCCATGTCCAGGTGTTATAACTTACTGACTGACATTTACTGTTACTTACTGACATTTAAAGATATAGTCCATCATTTGTAATTTGTGCATTTTGTTCGTTTGAAGCAACAAAAGTGTTCAAAATCTAATGAAGGATACTGAACAACTAACCTGATGAAGTTTTAGCTCAGCTTCAGCTATATATTCCGAGAAAAATAGCATTCTAGGATCTCAATTTCAAATCAAAAGTTGCTGAATCAGGTTTTGAATTGTTTTGAATTGCAGCTATACGCGATGTCGCGCACTGATCCGACGAATTATAGCAACTGAGTGAGCCTGTGCGTTGTGCCAATGCTTACGCGCGCTGCACCGAATAACAAAACGAACTTCTAATTTAAATTTTCCTACGGTGCGTCTTAAGATGCACCGTTGGAAAGGCCTTCTTTCGTTGATTACTTCAAAATGATAGCTTGCCAGAAAGATTAATTTCACAGGGAGTTTAGTCCACTTACTATCTTTCAACCAAGTATGTTTTTCAACAATAATACGCCAGTTACTTTTTCGGATGGCTGCAAATGATGGACTATAGCTTTAAAGTAAACATCACAACTCCAGTGTATGTTGAAATAGTTTTATTCTTGATTGTACAATAGACCTAGGTAGGATGTACTCATGGTAACATAACTAGGACTTGAAACACATACATCTTGATGTACCGTATGAGTCAAATAAGATATATGGTAACTTGCAAAAAATGTAATGTTACTAACCATGGAACTGCCCACTACACGTAAAATCAAGTAGGGTATTCCATAACAGTTTGGTAGTTTCGCTTTTTGAGTGTTTACAAAATGGTGTCCATTTACCTTCAATAGTACAAACTTAGTCATTTTGTTTGGATTGGTCATTTGATCTAACTCTCGTTCTCTCCAGGGAAAGATGACCAGATGATAAGATTGATCAGGGTAATCCTGTAATCCTGTGGTAATTTGTAGAGGTTGGATCGTTACTGATTGATTCACTTGACCTTGTTTCATCAACTCTCTTAAAGAATGAAATGAGTTGATTCTAGTTGCATGTGTTTGGTCAAAACAAGAAATGGTATTCTCTTCGTTCTGCTTCCCTTGTCAACACCAAGGAGTGGACGGCAGTCAAGTTTGTCAAAAGGATAATAATGTGTTCTGAATGTGAAACAAAACCCTATATGCAACTGCATTTTGGCAAAACGAGCTGACATCAATTCCATCATGGAAACTGCTATACATTGCTGCCACAGTGCTAAATCACGGTTTGGCAGATAGGGATAATACAAAGGGAACAAACTACATAGGTTTGATTACATTGGGTTTTTTTCTCTACGGGGTGAGTCATGTTCCCTGTATCCAATAACAGTACTGAATCATAATGCTTTTAGTGCAAAGAGGAACCAGACTACTTTTCCTTCCAGCTACGCTTTGGTTACGTTGATTTGAATGGAAAAAAATCAAGACGGCTGCAACATGATAATGGTCTATTCTGGTTTGGGTACAAATCAGAGTTTGTTTACGGAAGGCATCCTGACGTTGTAACCTTCTATTGGCAAATGATGCTTCGGTAAATTCTCACACTTCAACAGGTAGTTTAAAAACTTAAAATGTAAGTGGGTAATGAGAGTAATCCGTTTTAATATTTTTACAAATAATTCACAGCTCCACCTGTTATCACCACCCCGCTCACCAACCAAACCGTCAACCAAGAAGCCGTGGTCTACTTCACCTGCCAGGCTGCCGGCGAGCCCCGGCCCGAGCTGGTCTGGTTCTTCAACGACGGTCCGGTGCCCAGCTGGGGCAGTATCTCCAACCAGGGCCAGGTGCTGACCATCAGTTCGGCCAGCGGGGTGACCAAGGGGAAGATGACCTGCCGGGCCCAGAACAGGCAGGGGCAGGCGGAGACCGAGGCTTACTTGCAAGTCAGAGGTAATCTGCATTTTGTACTAAAATGTAACTCCCAGGTCTTTTATAATAACGCTGTGGCTGTCGTTACAGCAGTCGACGGTCTGGTTCCCTGACCTGATAAATTTGTTGATTCCTTGAGTTTTTCGTTGATTCTCTCCTGTGCCACAATTTTTTTCCCCAGATATCCGGTTTTCCTCCCTCTGCAAAAATCAATAAGGCACCTTTTGTTTGACCATATTGTAGCTGCTTCCTTCACAATTCAACTGTTGCTGCCAATAAGGACGATCAGCCCCCAAATTATTTTTATAATTAGTTTTCATAAATACCGAAGACAGTTTACCCATGCCAATTGGTCGAGAGCCTGTCACATGGCTGGTCTTAAACGGATGATAAAGACATGGCTGGCTGGTCTTAAACACTTTTCCAGTGTCACCTGAAATTTAGACTACTATGAAATCCAGTGCCTTTACCGTTTTATTGGTTGAACTCAACAATCCTCACGTGGGCATGCACAGTACTACCAGTGAGTCAGTATTTCATAGTCCTAAATACCATGGCGCTACATACACAACACACTCGCCACAGCTGCATCTGTGCGTCATCGCGCAGTACGCACAACGGCGCCAATCTCCATAAAAGGAGTCGTTTACGTCTTATTGGCAAGTCTGGAATGCTGATAATTGCCCTTTCCAGACTCCAAACAGTTATAAATGTGGTGTTTAACACCTCCAAAGCACACATTTATTCCCTTATTATAATAATATGTGTCTTCTTTCCACCACCTTGTAGTTGCTCCAGACATCACACCCATTGATGACCTCACTGTCAATGTGGGCAGATCATTAAGCGTTCACTGCATCACCAGTGCCTTCCCTGAGCCTAGCATCACCTGGCTGAAGGGCCAGGATGTCGTCATTGCCTCAGACAGAGTCAGCTTCACCTCGCCGAATGTCCTGACGATTGCCTCTGTTGCGAAGGATGATCAAGGTATATAAAACTGTCCAAACTCTTGGCTTAGACTACGACTAATTCAGACATGGCTTATGATTCTCTATCGTTTCATGACAGTGTAATGGCCTCCATCATGTGCATCTACCGGTACTTACTACACTAGAATCGACAAATGTTTTTGTCGTTTCATTAACCCAAAAATGCCATGGGCTGATGAAGCTGCTGGAATTGGCAAAAGTTGCCAATTTTTCTGGGTTTTCGAAATTTTGACTTTTCTCCATTAGATTATACATATGTAGGTTTCAAACTTTAAAGGGAAGACACAACATTTGCAAACATCAAAAAACGAAAGGATCCAATTATCACGAAATACCTTACTGGATTGTAAGGGAATGACAGTCTAAAGCATCCTGTAAAATTGTGGCTCCTGGTGTGCTGACATTTTCGGCCGACCAGCGCTGGAGAAAACTAGCTATTTTCAAAAACTACTCCGTATTTCGTATATTTAGTTATTCCACATTTTCTTTGCAATTGTTACTCACCTGTGAACGGGTACAAGCCAGCTAAATTGATACTCTGACCGTACAATTCCCCAAAGTCTATAAATTGCTCCATTTCATCTAAGTGGGGTCATGGAACCAGACTACAAGAATATCATTGGTTTTCTTGGTTTTTCCAGCATCTACAAGCCAAAAACGTAAAACAAGTCAGTTTAACAATATTTGCTGAAACATATAAATCCTCCAAATGCACTTATTTCTGAAAATTGCAGCAAAAGCCAATGTTGTGCATTCCCTTTAAGGGACTGTGGCCCAAATTGCATTACTTACTTTTGCTCCAAGAACATCATTTCTATAATCTCCGGCCAAAGTTTAAGAGTGATTCCATTTTGTTGAGAAAGTAATACCTTCTAAGTGATTCTGAAACTTCGGATTAAGTCACGTGTGGAGATGAAGCGTACTGCCCTGACCATTTGCCCTGACTGCCCTCTCTTGGCAAAACGGAAACGTAAATTTTGTTTTAATTTGTAGGGTAGAAACAGGAAAAAATATATACCGGAACACACAACTCTCTGAGAGATATCATTCACATGGTGTTACTGCAAACCTCCCATTCATCAAAAATCTGTTTCGGTGGCTGTTATATGTGACCCACTCCAGGAAAAGGTGATATAAGTTGTAAAAAATAAATTTCAAGTTATATACACGACTGGAAAGCCCACAATGTAAGCTTTCATTTGGTATGACACAGCTTTATAGCCCTTCTTGTTTCGAAATGTGACGAATTTGCATATTAATTAGTTCCATGAAGTTCATATTACACAACTGAGAAAACAGGCTTTGAAATAGCTGGCTCTGTTGTAGATTTGGGCAAGAAAAACTCACTTTTAATATCTTAGCAACAAACCTGTTCCTGTTTTACTATCACTTTTAAACTTTGGATATTGATTCTACAGTGATTATTTTTAATGATTTTTGGAAAAAAGAGACTTTTTGAAACCAGACTACTATCTTTTGGCTAATTTGCATATTGATTAAAATTATAGGTTTTGGATGTAAAATAAAGAGAAAATGCACACAAAATAAGGTTATTTTTTCCCCTTTATTCATCGAAATCAACATTTCTGTGAGTGAATCCTTAAACTTTAGGTATCAAAGATGTCATTCAAGACAAAAAAAGGAATTTGGATTTTGACAGAAAATTTCACCCTCTCAATATTCCGCGGGCCATTACACGAAAAGGCACAGAGCGACTTATATCACCTTTTCCTGGAGCGGGTCACATATAGTTCAACACTGCTGTTATTCTGTGTATGTTCTATAAGTTTTCATAACCGTGCAATTTTTTCATATTTCTAAAATATTTGTATGAAAAAGATGAAGCGCGTTTCGGATATATACTTCATGTAGTTATCTGTTGCTGAAGATGGTCTGTGTCAAAAGATAAACTTTGGCAGTATGGCTTCTGCTCAGTGTTCATGATGATTTAAAGCTCTTGCCGGTTGGTTACAAGATGTTACATGTTACAATTTGGCGGGACGTGATTTATTTTTTCCTTTTTTTTTAATCCCCAAGTTGTGTGTCACAAAAGGAGTATTTTAGCCCAACCCCTGCACATTGGGAGTAATAAATAATCCAAATCGTCCAAGCATTTGCGATTACTCATTCAAAAAGAAGGACTGTGTAAGTTGACAACGCACATATGGGTTTCCTATCACAACATCTGATATGATGATTTATATGTGTGTCTCAAAACATTTTTTTTTCAAAATAAGTTGGGACTTGCTTGTAAGATTTTAACACATTTTGAGATTAGGTATACAGGGTCTCTCAGTGTAACTAAATCATTATTTGTTAATTTTGGATGTGGCTGTTCGAGTTGTTTTAAGAAAGTGTCAGAACCTTGGGATGTTTTTGCAGCATGATATTTTTAAGAAAACGGGTGAGCGATGTACCGGTAACATGGCCATACAACATTATATCTTGAGTATATTAAAACAAAGTTGCACCAGTTGCCCCCAAGTAATTAGCTGAGAACATTACAGACCATTCCAAACATGTATTTTAGACATATAATTTGAAGAATAGTTAATAGCTCCTTAGGTAAGGGTGTGCATTGATTGGTAGTACAGGAACCCGGTACCCGATTGAAAAAAACACGGGTACCCGGGTACCTGTTAAAGAAACGCAACCCCAAAATTCAAATCTTGGAAGTTTATGTTCAGATTGTCCATAAAAGGTCCGCACGATAGCACTACCACATCGGTGCGTCAGTGCAGCAATTCATGTGTGTACTGTACTGTGAGCTTTACAGCTTTATGGTGAAAACTGCAACTTTCGCGAGCGTCATAAAAGTGTCATCTGTTTTGTTTTTCCATGTAGCCTGGTTTTCACTTTTAAAAATAACCCCCACAAATGACATTCAAAACCTTTCTTTTTCATTGTCTGAGAAATTACTTAAATAAAGTACAGTTGGTTACGGGTACCCAAGCCGTAAATCTGGAACCGGTTCCTGGCATCAGCGGTCGGATACTCGGGTACGCAGTTCCGATGCACAGCCCTTCCTTTAGTCCTGTATTTATTCTAAAAAAATATGTCCGAATGTAACAAAACCGTCCCCAACTTCTATATATTTGTGATTGATTGATTGATGTGCAGCCAGTGAAATTGACAATGATCGATTGTCGACATCTGTGGCACATGCTAAGAATTACATTGCGAGACCGACATAAAATGACATAAGGTTTGGATTAAAATAAACTAACACAATTAATCATGAGCCGTCAGGGTTGTTAAATTCTTCCACTATCTTGGAATGCACTCGCAGTTCCTATGACTTAGCATATCTAGATTATTTCCTCATTTTTTAAGAAACATGATGAATGATGAGAAATGTCAAATGTGCAACCATGAAATAGATTATGCGTCTGCTTTTAGGCAGCAACTGGAGGACATTCAAACTTGAACTTTTCACGGAAGTTGATGGTTGTGCGTATGTGTCGCCGGTCGTCAACCGAATAGTCTCAGACTTTACTTCCCTTTAAAAAAAATAATAAAATCCTTCTGAGCCATGATTCGGAAAGGAAAATTGGTCTACTTCACTAAAAAATAGGATTTGATTAAAACAGTAAAAGTAAGAAAATGCATATTTTGGGAAACTGAAAAAAAATTGATTTGAATTCATAGATTTGCAATATTATGTTGCAATTCCATAACTCTCAGTTGAAAAATGCATTTACGGCTTCAGTAAAAATAGCCATTTCGTTATTTCAAATGCACCTGAGTCGTCAAGAAGTTTTTATTGCCTGCTTTATCTGTATCTGAAGGTTTGTGAAACAAACGTTCGTCCATAAGAACAGTATCTTTCGACTTTACTAGTATTATATTAAAGAAGATGTTTTGTTGCTTGGTTACTACATTGTAGTTGAGGGGAAGCAGTCATTTTCAAGTGTCGCTAAATTTGTCCGGCAAATACACGGCGTAGTCATTGTTGGAAACATACATGTACACGTATAATGTACCTTCTTGATTGGAGTACACGACTGACAACAACTTCACAAAAAGTCTGCCAAATTTCAAGTAGGCTTACCTTTACAACACCTGCAATATTTATTTTACAGTTCCAGCTGCTACATGTACAATTTGCTTTTCAAATGTCAAATTGAAAAGTCTGCTTTACATAACCCTACGGCAACAGCCACTCCAGACTATAAAGGAATTTAAAAAAAATACTCACTCTTTTTATATCTAATTCTCGAAGGACTTTTGAACAAAATAAGATGGTTCCCCTCTGGTAATGCTGGATGTTGGAGTACAAGTTTGTCCTACATTTGGATTGTGTTTCCAACAAATTTCTGTGCAGGTAGTTTTTGAGGGGAGGTGCTTCTGCGTGTTGTAATTAGCTTCAAGGCTTTGAAGTCACGCCTCATGGGTGGTTCCTGCACAGCTGTTTCCTGACTGGGGAACGAGTTTTAAGATTCAATAACCTTGAGTAAACTCTCGGGTCAGCAAAAGCGCTGTAGTTTCAGGGAGTTAAACTTGTAAACGTGCACCAACAACTTTGTAGAGGCATGGTGTTCTATGATTAAAGTAATCACTGCACTGCATCTATTGCAGAAAAAGTTTCGACTGAAACAAGTTTGTCAAAATTTGAAAAGGGTTAAGCTGGGGAAGTGTCGCCATGTGGTTAGGGTTTGTGACTCGTGATCAGAAGGTCTGGGGTTCGAATCCTGGTGAAATGTCCATGTGTTGTGTCCTTGGGCAAGCCACTTCACCCCCACTTGCCTTTCTCCACCCAGGAGTATAAATGAGTACCGGCATGAGCTGGGGAGTAACCTGCAATGGACTGGCATCCCATCCAGGGGGAGTAGAAATATTATCAGTCGTTTCATGCCAAGGAAATCAGAGTTAAATGCCGGCCTGATGGGCCGTATTAACAGAGATGTTTAGTTAATTTCTGTTTTAATACAAACAGACAGAGAAAGACTGTTTCATTCCAAGAGTTATGCTCAGCCGTCTTTTGTTAGTTTGTATCTGCCCAATCAGCCTAAATTGTTTCAATTCCTGAGTTGTAGTTGAGTCCATCACCAGTCCGGCCAAAGCAAATCACAAGTCCTTCGCCAGTAACTGGTGAAAGGCAATCACAAGTAACACGGAATGAACAGTGATGAATGAAATCCTTTGTCAAAGGACATTTCAATATTCTTTAAACTGGACTTGAGACTAGAAGACTTGTGATGGACTAGTCAGGACTTGTGATGGACTTGTCAGGACCTGTGATGCACTCCACTACAGCACCGACCGAGCGTGCTATACATGCATATTTACAAAACAAATTTTGTCCTTTTTTTAAATCCAATTTTCAGGTGATTACAGTTGTGTGGCTGCCAATGATGTCGGAAACACAAGGGAGAGCTTTCATGTCTCAGTACTCGGTAAGTGGTGTCCCTTTGTAATTTTTTTTTTTGGGGGGGGGGTTTATTTTTCCTTTTTTTTCACCTGTCATGTAAAGGCACCAGTAGGCAGCGGCCATATGACTCATACTTTACCCTATACATGCTATAGAACAGCAAGATCATCATCCTCATCATCATCATCGACGGTTAAGTCCGTTGTCTAGTCTGTTCTGGGTTGGCCTGCCTTCTCCCTATTGCTCTCCTCCACTTGGCCCTGTCTGCCGTGTCCCTCGCATAGACTCCAAGCAGTCGAAAGTTTTTTATTTTTGCGGAGGAAAAAAAAATGGAAAACTAAGTGTTTATTTTTGTGGAGGAAAAAAAAAATGGAAAACCTGGAGAAAAACCCTGTGGCACAGGAGAGAATCAACGAACAACTCTCCTCACATGATGACCCAAGCCGGGAATCAAACCCAGGCCAACAGCGGTGAGAGTGCAGCACTTTATGCACTGCACCACCCATGCCATCAAAAATAGACTAACGACTTAGCCGTAGCTTTGGAAACCCAATTTGGACGCGTAGGTTCTCGTCAAGTTTGCATCAAGGAGTCCATGAGGATAACTGGGCACTGTGACCCTGTGCTTGCGCCGTCCCACTTCTTCCCTCACTCTGAAAAATCACACCCTCCCACTCCCCACTTCCGCATGATTGGTACTTCCTTCCTTTCAGCAAATTGACACTTTCACATCACATTGAACTCCCTCTTTTCCCCCTAAGTTTTGATCAAAACACATGAAAATGTTGTATCTCTGGATCAGTTCTTGAAATTCATCAAAAGGACTGTCATGTCTGGTTCCGGCCATTTATCACTGTCAGGTTTTTATAGGCACGTAGGGACATTTTGCAATTACTCGGAAAAGGGACATGTACCCTACCGATTTAATTAGAAAATCCATGCTCCAAAGCGAAGATAGTACTGGTACCTAACACCCTGGGAAATTAGTCCGCATGAAATGGTGTCACTCGGAAGAAAACAATCATGGAAGGTGGTTCAAGGAAATGTTCCCGCGGGCACAGTTTTTTACGTGCCTTGGCAACGGAATCCAGTTATCATACCCCAAATTTGTACATACGTTTTCTCTGTTTTCTCGAAATGCATAGTATCCACTGAGCTGAAAGTTCAACAAGTTGGTTTTTATGCACCCTTTTTTAGATTTCGAGCAATTTTTCTTGCTTCAAATAAAAAATTTAAAATGCATAAACAGCAGATGATCCTATGTGCTTGTCAGGATACCTGGGCTACACTTACAAGTTTAACTCAAATTGAATAAATGTGACCTGCTCCACCAAAAAGGGTATTATGAAATTGAGTAATATACATGCTTGGAAAGCCCACAATGTAAGCTTTCATTTGGTATATAATAGAGCTCCATAGCCCCTCTCCTTCTAGAGATATGACATATTTGCATATTGATTACTTCCTTGGAGTTTGAATTACACAACTGAGAAAACTGGCTTTGAAATAACTGGCTCTGTTCTAAATTTGGGCACGATGCACCCAAAATTGTAGTTTTTTCCTACTTTATTCATCGAAATCAACATTCTTGTGAATGAACCCTAAAACTTTAGGTATTTAGTATGATTTATAACAAAAAAATGAAAATCATATTTTGACAAATTTTTTCGCCCTCTCAACGTTGGGTTTTGTGCCAGTAGGAATTTATAGAAATCAAATGTTTTCTATTTTAGTTTCATAATACACATGTACATTCACAGGGGGTAGCGTCTGTAGAAACAGGTTGCTGTACAGCCTTGGAATGTGCACGCATGAATGAATCGAGTGTGATACAGGTATTACACGATAATGCACAGCACAACTTAAAGGGAATATACATCATTTGCTTTTGCTGTAATTTTCAGAAATGGATGGAATTGGGGGGTTGGAAATATGAAGCAAATATAGTTACACTGACTTTTTGGAGGTTTTGGGTTCAAAAATGCTATAAAAACCAAGAAAAACGATCATTTTCCTGTAGTCTGGTTCCCTGACTCCATATAAGAAGAAACAGAGCAGTTTACATACATTGGGGAATTGTAAGGTCAGGGAACCAGTCTAGCTGGCCCGTACCCGTTCATAGGTTTGTAATCGATTGCAAACAAGTGCAATGGTCAATTGTGGCCAGTATTTGAAAAAAAGCCAGTTGTTTCCAACGCTGATCGGCCGATCAGCGTTGGAAATTGATACAAAAATACCAATTTTCTTGAAAATGACAGTATACCAGGTGCCATAATTTTACAGGATGCTTTAGACTGTCATTTACCAACATCCTATTAAGGTATTTCGCAAAAACTTGGTAGTTTTATTTTTCGATGTTTGCAAATGTTGTATATTCCCTTTAAAATCCTTTTTTGTGTGGAATATGTCACAAATATTCACTTATTCCGATGCTTGTTCTTTGTTACCCAGCGGTCATTGTATAAAGTACATTGCTAAGACTCAGGGGAGCGATATTGGGTGTAGACCCCCCTCCTATCGGGAGTGCGATGTGAGAACATTAATCAGTAGGGCAGAGGGGGAAAAGGAGCCAAGAAATATCTGCAAAAGCCAGGGGGGAAAACCCCAAGGGTCCACCCCACGGACTCCGGTTGCTGACTTTTGGAAACAACACGTGGCTTTTATTGGGCGGGCGGCAAGCTGCAGGACTGCGATACCGCAGCTGTTTTTCCCCGCCTTTTGCGCCCGCAACTCTCACTCTCGCTTTCTCTATCAGGGTTACACAGGATGCTGATAAGTAGTGGTAAAATGAATTATGTGACGGGCATTAACTTACGTCATAGATTATGGTTTTCATTGCTTGTTTTGAGTATCCTTGCACAAGAGTTGCGCTGGATGTTATTGGTAAATATCTCGGAACGGGAAGCACAGCTCTGTGTGGGTTATGACTGTGATAGCCAGCGTCACCCCTAGCACTGTCCCATGGGTTGAAAGGAGGAAATTGTGGTCACGTGCCTTGCCTAAGAACATAAGCTCCACGATTCCCTTGAGGATTTGAACCACACTCAAAAGACCAAAAACATCATGATGGTGTCATCATAATAACTGGACCAAAATTAATTAACTCTCATCAGTAAAATTACTGAAATGACATGCATGTATAGTTACATTTATCTTGAATATTACATTCTTGGCATTTATGTTTTTTTTTTCATGAGTTTCTCACTGTTTGCTTTACATAACTTTTAATAAATAAAATTCGACAATGTAGTTTTCCACCTCCACATACCATACCAACTAATACCAAGGTATCTGTGCAGTTTAAGACAACCATGGACACTGCAGTATTGAAATGTCTATCTGTGAATGTCCATGATTATGATGTCGATCTGTCGATCTGTGATTATGATCTGTCCTAGTTTAAGCCTAATGTCAATACCTTTTGTTTGACTTTTTTAACTGACGTCGCAAAAAAGGCAAGCACTGCGTACATCACCCACAATACTCAACAAAAGCAATATATATAGCCCCCCTTTGCTTTTCATATTTCATATTTGGGCGGACAATTTTTGGACCTTTTTTCCAGGAAACAAAAAAATTTATTTTGGCTCCCCCTCAAAAAAATTGTGTTCTGGATCCGGCCTATACCTTAAGTGGCCTTTAAACAGGGCCTTGTAATGGGTGACTCTGTCTGTCTCTCTTGCTCTCTAAAAAAAAGCCCAGTCTTTGGACAATTGGCTAAAAATTGTCTTCGAGGTGAAATGTTGAAAGGATTCTTCCGTCTATTCTTCCAGAAATGTCCCCCACTTCTTTCAACGCCGACCTGCCCCTGTCCATTCTTAACACAGCCACCGTTCTCATCTGGCACGAATCTTCCATTTGTGGTCTGCCCCCCTCGCTATCTGCTAATGCTTCCCAGGTTTCCTCTTCAGGGCAAGGGGGGGGGGGCAGTCAGGAGGAAGGTATTTCCTCCGTTAATCGTTCCTCCATTGGTAATGTCGCGAATCAAAACTGTAAATTTAGGGTTCGGTGATCAAAATTGCTTGTGACACAAACAGGTCAGAGGGGTAGGTACCTGATGAATGAAAAGGTCGTGGTGTAATTGACTGAAATGCACTTTGAAAGCCAAAGGGCCTTTGGGGCTGCATCCATGTACAGGTACGTGCCTTCTACCCATCTTTTGTGCTGAGCTGTAGGTGACCCATTGGAGGATCCAGGGGGCAGGTGCATTACCATGTTTGCCCATTGCAGTGGGAGGAAAAGGGCACTGGCTGCCGTGCTGAAAGGTAGACAGGGTTCTTTCATCGGACACCCATCCTCGTCAATTGAAAAGTGTTGGGGAGGGGGGAGGGGAGGGGGGGGGGGGGGAAATGGCTGTTCTATCCGGAAACTTTTGGACAATAGGTGGCACTCTTCAACACGGAACGACATTTGCGGGATGTAACCAAGGGGAACCTGTTAAAAAATAGCACTCGTGAAAAAGGGCAATCAATACAGTTGCAGAGAATTTTTGTTTCCAGTTTCCCCGTCCCGAAATTGCTTCTATCAACATCCCGATTTTGCTTTCCAAATCTCTATCCCGTTGCAACCTTCCACTCCCCCCCCCCCCAGGTTACGCTACGGCGGATGGGGGAGGGGGGGGGGGATGAGGGGTTGTGCCCCCCCCCCCAAACAATTTTATTTTTCTAAAATCGGAGGAGTGAAGACATCTTTTTGTCTTCAATTTTCAGGAAATAAATTTAAACGCTGCGTATCTCCCTCGCACGCAATCAGCTACACGTACATGTACCTTTTAGTTTCAATATGGCAACGTGGATATTTATAGCGCACAGTACTCTATACTTAATTCCCTTCCCCTTTTCGAAAAAAAACAATATACCCAAGCCCTCTTGGCTTCCCCACCAAAAAAAATTTGGTTCTGGATCCGCCCTTACCGGTACCTTGCAGGTACCGGTACCTTGCAGACATTAAGGATAGCCAACCCAAATCAAACTCTACTCTGTGGCTTTGAGACTCTTTAACCTTGACTGTTGTCCAGTATTAGACAGGTTTAACAGTTTTATTGGCGCAACAAAGTTCATCTCATCTGTGACTGTGTGTCTTTCTTTTACAAACTACTGAACTCAGTTCGCAAGGTGCCCTTTGATGAGAGGACACAATGATACCCTGAGAAGTTTTAAGTATTGGGCATGTGGTGATCGTTATTATCCACAGATTCCTATATACCTTTCCTTTGTCTGTGGTTACACCTGATGACGTATGTAGTCATCTGCTTCTGTTTAAGCCGCTTGATTCAGGACACCTGGACTCACGGAAACAGAGCCATGTTACTGACCCTTGTGTTTGCCTGAAGACTGTACTTAAAGGTCTCTTGTGGTAGAATCTATTTAAATGCAGTCTTTGAAAATGAACGTTTGTGTTTTATAGGAATTTTACTTTCAGTGTCCAACTTGCTATTTTCAAGGGTGTTTTTGTGCCTTTGTAGCTGTTTTGGAGTACATACTTCGAAACATCTGGATCGTTTGCTTTTCATGCATTTTGTTCATTTCCAATAATAACACCACTCAAAATCCAGAGAAAAGTTCAAAACCAACCTCTTGAAGGTTCAGCTCAGTGGATATTACACTTTCGAGAAAACAGTGATAAAACTATAAAGGCATAACCTTTTGATCACGAAACACAATTTTGTCAGTAACACTTTTTCCCCCCCAAAATCAGTCAATCGACTTATCGTTGGAAATCACCTACATTTCTTGATTTCTTCTAAATGATAGCAAGCCAGTCAGAATAATTTCACAGGGTGTTTAGTACCAGTACGATCTTTAGTCCAAGTAAGCTTTTTGATAGTAATTCAGTAGGTTACGTTTGGGATAAATGCAAATGATCCTATATGCCTTTAAGAAGATTGTAAAGTCTGTCGTTCCACTTTAAAGACTTTTGCCCATGTAACCCAATTCTCTCTGTGCGGTCGTTCTTTGAAGAATGGCTTTCCAGGACGTCACAGTGTCTTCGCTGACATTTGGTAGTGGTTTGTTTAGTGTGGTTTATTGACGTCTTGACAGCACTTGTCATGATACTGGAATGGGTTCCAGTCCGTAGACCGGAAGTCTCGGATTGAATCTGACCCAACCCAGATGGATGGGGCACCACAATGTGAATGACAGCTGGGGTCAGATACAACGTACACAGAGATATCGTGATGAGGAGTAGTTGTTTGTATGTGAATTGTGTGACAGTGCATTTCCCTCTACGCAAACATCTGAAAGCACATGCTTGCTCAGTTATATGGGGAACCAATACCATAATTGAAGTATGATGATTTTGTGAGATGCGCAAATCCCACATTTTCTGTATTAGTGTAGAACTTAGTCATGGAAGATGGCTCGAATAAACAAATGGCTATTTCTAAGCTTCAAACAAGTAATACTTCTTGGAACTGGTGTACCATGGGCTCCATGCACAAGTACCCTTTCAACGGCCAGAAAAGGAGAGTTGGGGGAGACCTTAGACTGGTTCCCAGTCCATCCACTGCGTATTTCGAATGATCCAAAGTTATTGGGGGCAAGGATTAGTCTAGGAGACCATCGCAAGTTAAATCCGAACTTACCGGTATTCCCACGCCGACGACGCCTGACGCTCACGCGCGAAGATGCTATGGCTTAGCTTTGTGCACATTCAAGATAAATAAGTCATGCGTACTTTGCGCGCAAACCAGTACAGTATGCACATGCGGTGTCCCGTCCAAGGGACTCTCAAAAGTCAAAATGCGCCCTCTTTTGTTGGCGCACGGAGCCCATAAAGCGCATAAGTTTTACGAGTGTGCGTACGAGTTGTACTATGAGTTGATCACCTGTGAAGCGGGCATTCACCTGGGAAGAGGATGAAGTGGCAGAGTTGCCTCCCCAAGAAGTGGGCCAGGCTGCGAAGCTGCCTACCTCGAGTTATAGTTCAGGGATGCCAGTTTTCAGGTTGTAGCCTGAATTCAGGCTTTTTCATGGTTTGGAAAAACAAATTCAGGCATTCCATCCCTTCGCAGGCCGGAAAAATGATGTCAAGCACGCACAGACAAAAAAAAAGGCGCATGTGATGCTCCATGGCAGTCTCCATGCTCTTGTTTCCTGCATAGAGCCTTTTTTATAATGTTCCATTGATGTTTTTGTGTTATCCTAGGCATCCCCGGCACACCTACTATACTGAGTGCAGCAGCCATATCCGTGGACTCCATCACAGTGTACTGGTCAGCTACTGGGGATGTCACAGACACCACACACTATCAGCTGCAGTACAAACTAAGGTACGATGCTTGCTTCTTTTATGAGTCATGCATATACGGTACCCTATAAGAACTGTTTTATTGTCAGGCTGAAAAAACAATCAAAGTAAGTACTTATTCCGTAGCTAAACTTGGGCCAATTTTTTTTGGCTTGTCTCATTCAAAGGTGATAGAGCATTAAAAGTATTGCTATAAAAAACTGCAATTTGAAAAAATATTAGGACGAGACTTGAAGTTAGCATGGACAGTAAAACTTGGAGTTGCGCCTTATTTTATTTTTGCTTCTTTGTAATTTCAGTGTTTCCACAGCATGGACCACCTTCCTGGACAGCATTCCAGCCCTCGCCGGCTCCCCGTCCAGCCCCCAGGAACACACCGTCTCCGGCCTGGCTGAGAGCCAGACCTACCAGTTCAGAGTCTTTGCTAAGAACGTCGTGGGTACCTCCGCTCCGAGTAACGTGGTTGCTGCATCAACGCCTTCCGTCACTGGTTGGTAGCCATTAAAAGGCCATGACTTGCTAGTTATTGAGTGTTTAGCCCCCAGAGCTATGCTCTTATCGACAAAACAAATCTGGCAACGCCCCTAGTGTAGAGGGCGTCATCAGTGACATCTGAAATTAAGCTTCAGCTGCCTTGACCAGATGATGATGATGATACTAATTCAGAAACTGAATCTCAACTGCTAGTCATTGTGTGTGTAGCCCCCAGAGCTATGCTCTTCTCTACCAAAAAAACCCACCACAATCCTGGCAATGCCCCTAGTTTAGAGGGAGTCACAGGCATGCAAATGTTCTTCAGATCAGCTGATTTCCTTGTTTTTTTTTCCATTTCACACTTGTGCCATTAAAAATTGGAAAACGCTGTACAAAGTCTTGTGCAGATTGGAGTTTCCTCTTTTTTGGATTACTTCCAAGTTGCATGCCTGGAGTCATCAGTGGCATCTGAAATGAAGCTTCAGCTGCCTTGACCAGATGATGATGATGAAGATACTAATTAAGAAACTCAATCGCAACTTCAGTGAAGTTGTTACTTTAATAAGCATGATACCATGCACAAGGCAAACAATGGTAAAGTATCTTGCCCATGGACAAAATCCCTGGCTGGTAGCTGGATTCAAACTCCCAACCTGCTGTGAATCACAAACTTAAGCCTGTGCACTAATGCAAATTCCTCATTTTAATATTAAAAATAATAATATTGATGGGTATTTATAAGGCCCATGTATCCACCAGTATTGGTGCTCAAGGCGCTACATCATTATTATCCTGCTCATTGGGCCAATGAAACATTCCAAAGACCATCTCAGCTCCCTGGGGAGTATACAGCTCCATGCTGCCATTTCGGCTTAAAGCAGCTATTCAATCACAATAACCATCTCTGCCCTCACAGGTACCCATTTACTCCTGGATGGATGGAAGCAATGAGTGACAAAGTGCCTTGCCCAAGGGCACACGCATCGCAAACCCAGGCTGGACTCGAACCCACAACCCGCACAATTACCCGCAGACCACAAATTCAATGCTCCAGACCACGAGGCCACCGCACTTCATAAATATTGTAATATTAGTGTATGCAGAAAACATCATTTCACACATTTTCAAATAATCCTGTGCTGATATTGCATTCTCCCTATCCAGGGCCCTCTGCTCCAAGGAACCTGGCGGTGCTGTCCTTCAATGCCACGGCCGTCGTACTGCAGTGGGAGATACCGGTGCAGAGAAATGGGCCCATCGATGCATACACAGTCGAATACAGGGAGACTGACACAAATGGTAGGTTTATTGCATGGTCTTAACCGCCAATTTTCGTCCCGTAAATGTCTGGTTATATTCAGGATTTCCTGACGTTAATACACAAACGTTTATCAGTGTGTTGGTTTTGAAACCCCTGATTATGTGAATTGGGATTTCCAAAGCCATCGCAATTTTCTCCTTTCTGAATGGAGTACCGAAGTGAATACATCACGCACACCAAATGTGTGTAAAAGACATTAGCGCATGATTCAGCCCGAGAGCCAACACGCTCGCATACTCCATTCGTTTGCACTACACTTTCTGGTTCTAAATGACGTCACACTTCGGTACTCCATAATACTTAATTTTCAGAACTTCGACACAACCTATTAAAATTGATGTCAAAATCAGACTTTTGAAGAGACCACTTTTGACTTAAATATCTCACCAGCAGCACCTGTTGACGTTGTGATAGCAAATTCGAGTTAAGCAGTGCCAGTACTTGAAAATGAATAAACTTGTCGACGTAACCTAGTATTTTTTGGTTGTGCTCGACAACCTTTCTGCAGTGGATGGGGCCCTCTATAGAATGAAAAAAAAAAAACAAAGAAGAAAGTTGTTTTAGTTTATTTACTAATGAACAGTGATGCCACAACTTTTTCTGAGTTCACTGAAAACTGTGGTGTGTTTAAATACTATGTACATGTGCATCAAAATCATGTAAAACAATTGGGTAGAATTTTCTTTTGGTCAAGATGGGCCTTTTAGGTTAGAAATTGATTCCGTGTTTTTTTTTCATAATATGAGCTTGTACATAATAATAATAATAATAATAATTTGGGAGGCTAATCATCCTTTAATACTGGCAGCTGGGATGCTGAATTGTAAAGGATGCAGCTACAACGTGGTCGAGCCGCTGGCAAGTAAAGGTGCCTCTGGCAGCCAGCCACATCGACCCATATATGACCACGGAGCACAGCCAGAGATCGAAAGTACATCGTGCAATACTTTAATGTTCTTATACTTATTTATAGTTTATTCCATGGTACAACAACCCGGTAATGACCAGTACACCATTGAAGTCACCGTGGCAAATCTCAAGCCCATGACATCCTTCCAGTTCCGTGTGACGGCGGCGACGCTGCATAATGGACAACAGCAGTTTGGCGACTACACGGAATATGTGGAGCAAACGACCTCCCCAAGTGGTAAAGAAGCTCAACTATGGAATTATAGACCAATCTGGGCACGCTATCAATCCTATCACGAAGGCCCCCTTCAATGGTGAAAGCATTGTTCTAGCTTTTGTTCAGATAATCCATCACGGGGCAGTTGCTTTGTACAATAGCGTGCACAATGGTTTCTCCATTGAAGGCGGCCTCGTGAGTGTACAGTGATCAAGAGGCCAGGGCCCAATTTCTTGGCTCTGCTTACCATAAGCGAAAAATCCCTGCTTACTGTAGCAGACCATTCCGTGCTTACGGTAAGCGTATTTCACGGATTAGCTTGGATTTTTGGTGTCTGCGCATGCGTACATCTTGTAACTAAGGATTCGGTGCTTACAGCATTAGCACAGAATTTTTCTGTCAGCGCGATTAGCACAAAATAGTGATCGTAAGCCATGAAATTGGGCCCAGATTTGTCCATATTGAATTATTATATTTTTTACTATCAGGGAATACTTCAAAAAATATTTGACCTGCTGTTTGCAGGTTGCTAAAGACTGGCCAGTTTGGGTTCTCTTTTACAGATTTTCACTAATTTCTGACCAAGTTTTTGAGAACCTAGCAGAACAAATGTCCATTGTTAAACTATGCAAATTAGCCTTCCAATCTTGCAGGCCCATTGGTAAATAAGGGAAGTATTTAATAGTTTGCAGATGGTCAATTTTGAAGCCTGCCCTAAGTACTGAAGCTACATTTATAACCCTTTCCTCACTGTACAGCCGAAAATAGTCCTACCTATTTTTCACTGTAGCATCGAAACCTCCTGAGCACTCTATGGATTTATGGATTCATCAGAGAATGAACACAATGTAATACAATGTAATATAATGTAGTACAGGTGCTAATGGGATTACTTAATATTACTCACTTTAGATGGAAAACTGCTCACTTACAGTTTTTTTTTTTATCTCTGCAGCCCCAAGTGTCGCACCCGTTAACGTCATGGTAACAGCATCCTCATCAACAACACTTTTTGTGTCTTGGTTGGTAAGTTCACACACAAACACTTGAAAATAAAACTCTTCTAAAAGATTTCCAGACTAATTTTTTAATGTCTTGATTACAGTTTTGTCTCATTTGTTGATGTCAAAGTTTTGACTTCTTTAGGCAAAACAGTCCATTAACAAGTAAAAAGTATTGATTTTTATTCTATGACTGCCTCTGTGTGCAGACCTAGCCCTCTCAAGTCCTCGCTAGTCCTCACAAGTCCTCACAAGTCCATCACAAGTCCATCACAAACCTCACTAGCAGTCCCAAATCCTTGTTAGCATATCACTAGTCAATCACAATTCCTCACAAGTCCATCACAAGTCCATCACAAGTCTGTCTTAGGTCCCCACAAGTCCATCACAAAGTCCCTCACAAGTCCTCACTAGCCTATCCCAAATCCTCTTAAGCGTACACAACCCCATCACAATTCCTCACAAGTCTTCACAAGTCCTCACAGGTCTATCACAACACCACACAAGTCCATCAGAAGTTTTCACAAGTCCTCATAAGGCCATCACAAGTCCTCACAAGTCCATCACAAGTCCATCACAAGTCCATCACAAGTCCTCTTAAGTCCATCACAAGTCCTCACAAGTCCATCACAGGTCCATCACAAGTCCATCACAAGTCCTCACAAGTCCATCACAAGTCCTCACAAGTCCATCACAGGTCCATCACAAGTCCATCACAAGTCCTCACACGTCCATCACAAGTCCCCACAAGTCCTCACAGGTCCATCACAAGTCCATCACAAGTCCATCACAGGTCCATCACAAGTCCATCACAAGTCCATCACAAGTCCTCACAAGTCCATCACAAGTCCTCACAAGCCCATCACAGGTCCATCACAAGTCCATCAAAAGTCCATCACAAGTCCTCACAAGTCCATCACAAGTCCTCACAAGCCCATCACAGGTCCATCACAAGTCCATAACAAGTCCTCACAAGTCCATCACAAGTCCATCACAAGTCTGTCTTAGGTCCCCACAAGTCCATCACAAAGTCCCTCACAAGTCCTCACTAGCCTATCTCACTAGCCTAAGCGTACACAACCCCATCACAATTCCTCACAAGTCTTCACAAGTCCTCACAGGTCTATCACAACACCACACAAGTCCATCAGAAGTTCTCACAAGTCCTCATAAGGCCATCACAAGTCCTCACAAGTCCATCACAAGTCCATCACAAGTCCTCTTAAGTCCATCAAAAGTCCATCAAAAGTCCTCTTAAGTCCATCACAAGTCCTCACAAGTCCATCACAGGTCCATCACAAGTCCATCACAAGTCCTCACAAGTCCATCACAAGTCCTCACAAGTCCATCACAGGTCCATCACAAGTCCATCACAAGTCCTCACACGTCCATCACAAGTCCCCACAAGTCCTCACAGGTCCATCACAAGTCCATCACAAGTCCATCACAAGTCCATCACAGGTCCATCACAAGTCCATCACAAGTCCATCACAAGTCCTCACAAGTCCATCACAAGTCCCCACAAGTCCTCACAGGTCCATCACAAGTCCTCACAGGTCTATCACAACACCCACAAGTCCATCACAAGTCCATCACAAGTCCTCTTAAGTCCATCACAAGTCCTCACAAGTCCATCACAGGTCCATCACAAGTCCATCACAAGTCCATCACAAGTCCTCACAAGTCCATCACAAGTCCCCACAAGTCCTCACAGGTCCATCACAAGTCCTCACAGGTCTATCACAACACCCACAAGTCCATCACAAGTCCATCACAACACCACACAAGTCCATCAGATGTCCTCACAAGTCCTCACAAGTCCATCACAAGTCCATCAGAAGTCCGTCACAAGGCATCCAATCCCAGCTCACAAGCTGTTCAGATGTCCTTCTTAATCTCCTGTTAAATGTGCGTAGACTTGTGAATTGTCTATGACTTGTGAGCAGACGTTTGATTGACTCGACTACAACACTGCTTACAGGGAAAGTTGTCACTGTGCCTCACAACCAATCAATTCAATTTCAGAAAGCTTGAGGCAGTTACCAGTCAATCGACATATATACATGAACATGTTCGTGGTTTACGTCGCCAGTCTATTGCCCCGATTATTTGTCTGGTTTCCAACTTCCTATTGTCTGAGTCTGGTCTCGGTCTCATAACAGTCTAGATTGTAAGCAGCGGGACTTTGGAGAGTTTATTGATTTGTTCCTTCATGTGTCAAGCATTAAGAGGAGGAAGGGTAATTATGAAGTTGGTCATTTGTTCAAGGCGGTAGAACAAGTGTTCTATGTTCTAGATCACAGCCTAGGGCAAGTTCAGGCACAAATGATAGTTAACCATAGTTTGAGTAACTTTGCTCCAACGAAGGTTAGTTGAATTTACTCTAGTCGACTATATGGAATCAGACCACAGGGGACGGTTGCATCACTGGTTACCATTAGCCGCACGCATCATAATGCACAACAGGGAGGCGTGACCCAGAAGTTTGTGATGACCAGCATTTCATTAAATTCACTGTTAGGTTTTGCCCTTCACCGACGTATAAACACTGTATACACAGTGTGTTATCCCAGAGTGAAAGTGAGAAAAATCACTCCGGTGGGACTCGAACCCACTACCTCCTGTGTCGGTGAAGGGCAACACCTAATATTGAATTTACATCACCCAGACAGAAATTCCATCTTATGAATATTTTGTTACATGTTGCTATTAGCGGGCAGTCACGAATCTACCACTAGGCGACTAATGGTCCTTACCCACTTTTAATAATAATGCAGAGCATTTATAAGGTTCGCAGTATCTGAAAATAATAGTCATTCAAAGGCGCCGGTCAATGGGGAGTCAATTATGTGTGATAGTGAAAGTCACTATGTGTGGGAGGAAAGTTGATTGAAGAGGTGGGTTTTGAGATTGCGTATCAAGAGAGACAGGTCTTGAATTTTGTTAATTACGAATCCCTGGTTATCTAAATCACTTGTAATAGTCTTCATGTTTACCAAGTATCATAGCTAGCCAGAAAATATTCTCCTTTTAAGTATTTTCAGATTAATGTGTTGAATGATTTAATTTGCCCTGATTTATTTAATTTGTTTTTAATGGGGAAGTGGATTAGGTAGAAAGAACATGTCAGAGTTACACGTGACTGACCTCAAATATTTATCCTGTTGGATTAATCTCATTGCAAAATGACAAACAACGTTTGCTCCAGATGATTTAATGCGCCTTTATCTTGACAACCCAAGGGCAAGATGTCACATGCCATAAACTCAAGTCAATCTCAAAAAGCCGGGACTTCCGTTCATCACAACGTGATTGTAATTCGTCAAGAAGCTCACCCAATTATTATCTATATCTTAATGAATAAACTGGAGAAGGAAGTCACCAGGAAGGAGTTTCATTCAAGGTGGGGCAGATTTAAAAGAGACTTAAAGGCACAAAGGATCAGTTGCATTTATCCCAAAAGTAACCTACCAAATTATAATCAAAACGCTTACTTGGATTAAAGATCATACTGGTACTAAACACCCCGTGAAATGATTCCATCTGGCTTGCTGTCATTTAGAAGAAATCAAGAAATGTAGGTGATTTCCAATGATCAGCCCATTGAATGCTCTTTGGAAATAAGAGTTTTGGAAACAAAATCGTGTTTTGTGATCGAAAGGTTGTGCATGGTTTTTCACTGTTTTCTCGGAAAGTGTAATATCCACTGAGCTGAAACTTCAACAGGTTAAGTTTGGAACATTCCTATTTGCACTTTGAGAAGTGTTGTTATTGGAAACGAACAAAATGCATGCAAAGCAAATGATCCTATATGCTTTTCAGGCAAAGTTCATGGAGGGGACTCCTTTCTGTAAAGGTTGGGAAAGATAACAATTTCATATTTTCTTTTCAGTGTGAGACATAGATTTCTATAGTTTTTCAAACCTGTAGGTTGGTTAAAATCAAGCAGTGTCCACATTAGATTCCTTATTTGTTGTATAAGATTTGAAGGTGTGCATGGTGAATATAGCAATAAGATATAAAGGTTGACGGTAGCTCCATGTGACAAATGTCTGCCCGTTGACAGTCTCCTGACGACAGGCAGAGTATACAGTCCGATACGTTGAGATTCCCTCGGTTCTTTACAGAACCTCACAAACTCACAAAAGTTATTTGTTGTAACGTGCATCACGGAAAATACAAATTATGGATTTCATGGAAGTCTTCAGTTCTCACACTAGACAACAGACTTGACTTCATAACACACGTGTGTATGAGGACAGGCAATGACCTCATGCTTCTGACATCTTATTGGTTGCTGTGCGTCTTGACTGTACCGCCTCCCTTGTAATTTGATTGGCCTACTTCTCCTGTGCACTCATCATGCTAAATGCAGCACGCTATTGGTACGCATATAGATATTTAAATTAGGTTAATCCCTACGTCATAGGTCAACCTGACAATCTGCACACTGGCCGGTAGCGTTTTTTTTTTTCTGCAGCATACATCGTCTTTTAACCAATCACATCACGCACCCTAATGTGAATATTTATCAGGCTGTGTGGATGGAAGACACTTAGGTTCTCGAAGTGTTTTCCCTTCAATTAAACTTATCCCAAACAACAAAAAGTATTTGATGAAAACGGGCACGGGCTCAAACCACAGATCTTGCGATTTATAGTCCACTATCCACTAGGCCACTGTGACAGCTCGACGAAAGCCGTTCTTTGAAATGCTTTAATGTACATGCATGACTGAGTGATAGCAGTAGTGTGACTTCATTGTTATTTTCTTATGAATAAACATCGAACTAGCTGAATAATCATGATCCATTGACGATGTGTGCTGCAAATAAAAAACACCGCTGGCCGGTATCCTACTTTAAAGGGAATATACAACATTTGCAAACATCGAAAAATAAAACTATCAAGTTTTTACGAAATGCCTTACTTGGATGTTGGTAAATGACAGTCAAAAGCATCCTGTAAAATTATGGCTCCTGGTGTGAAGTCATTTTCAAGAAATTGGTATTTTTGTATACATTTCCAACAGTGGTCGGCCGATCACCGTTGGAAAAACCTAACTATTTTTCAACTTCTGCTTCAAATTTACCATTTTTTCAGTCCAAATTTTGTTTGCTAGTGGTAACATGTTCATGAACGGGTGCAGGCCAGCTACACTGGTTCCCTTACCTTACAATTTTCCGGCATCTATAAATTGATCCATTTTATCCTTAGTGGAGTCAGGGAACCAGACTACTTGAACATTTTTCATTTTTCTTGATTTTTCCAACACAAAACTTCAAACATGGCAGTGTTACAATATTTTTATCTATTATACTAACCCTTCAAGTAGTTCATTTCTGAAAATTACAGCAAAAGCCAATGATGTACATTCCCTTTAAACAGCCCACCATTTGAAGTCTGTGTTCAGACTATTCTCACATGTCCTTGACACTGGCTGGTCTTGACACACAGACTTGATTATCCAGCCAACACCTCCAAATCACCCCCAGGGGCTCGGGGCGTGAGGGAGGAAGGAATCACTTTAGACTCCTGACGAGCCGGTTGATATTCCCTACAGGGTCATCAGTGTGGGAGCTGCCTGATTTGAATTAACATCCGTTGTCTGTTGGAGTTCTCGGGAGGAATGGTTTTAATATCTTGTGTAGACAAAAGACAAATGATTCACAGATGAATTAAACACATTAAAGTGATTTATGCTTTTGTGAAGGGCTGTGGACAGCAGTGAGCATAGATGTGCAATGTGCATGTTAGTGAACTAGTAATTTTTTTCCTGATGCAGTATGCAGATGTGAACTTTTGATGTCGTAATTATATTTGCTAATATGGATTTTGATTTTGATTGTTTTGGGCTCCGTGCACCAACAAAAGAGGACGCATTTTTACCACTTTTAAGAGCCCTGTGGATGCGACGATGTGGGACACACAGCATGCGCATACTGTACTGTACCGGTTTGCGCGCGAAGTACGCACGACGTCCTGAATGTGCTAGACTTATTAGCCACAGCATATAAGCATGAGCGTCAAGCGTCGTTGGCGCCCAAATACGTTTAAATTTAACTTGCGATGGTCTTCCAGACTAATCCCCGCCCCCAATAACTTTGGATCATTTGGAATACGCAGTGGATGGACCGGGAACCAGTCTAGGTCTCCCCCAGCTTTCCTTTCCTGGCCGTTGAAGGGGTACTTGTGCACGGAGCCCATAGTTTATTATCACTAAATGAGTTAAAGATGCATTCCTTGTGATATTTTCGAGTTTCACCTCGAAAAATAGATGTTTTTTTCAATTGCTATTTTGCAAGAAATATAGAAATTATTCACTTTGGTGTGAGACAAAAAAAATCCACTGACATTTAGTTACTGAATTATTTCTCACAAAACTAGAATGACTAGCTGCCAGACAATAATTGGGCTCTTGCAGGGCGGGTTCTTTTGTGTGCAAAATGTAAAATCCTTTTTCAGAGGGTTGCAGATGTCCAAAATCAGAATAAAGTAGATTTTTTGTTAAAACAAAGCATACAAATTGAAAATTTGTTAGAAGAAAAATAAAAAATCACTTGTTTTTTTATTAAGAGCACGGGGTATGGCTCTTTTAAGTACATTTATGTAAAAGTATAGTTATGAGGCAAAATTGTTCTCGTACAATTGTTTTTTTTTGTAATTAGACATTCAAAATTGCACAGTTTGCAAAGACTCTCATTTGTGTACATGTACAAGCAAAAGTTGCGTAAAGTGATTTTTTGAATTTGTAATCTCTGATAATTGTGAGAATTTGTTGCATTTTTAATCTTGTAAACTCTATTATTTTCACAAATCTCCCACCAGGCCATACCCCCTGAGCATCAGAATGGGCCGATCCTAGGCTACACAGTGTCATACAAGGAAACGGGCGGTTCCACTACGCCACGGGAGAGAACGGTCAACGAATCTGTGTTTTCCGTGAGTCTGACAAGGCTGGTCAAGTGGCAGGAGTACGACGTGCAGGTGTGGGGGTTCAACGACGAAGGGAATAGCACCAAGAGTGACGTCATTGTCACCAGGACAAAAGCTGATGGTAAGTTGAAACAACTGGTTATAATGCGCAGTGATTGACAGTCTTGTGTCCAATGGTCACTGTTCATAACATCACTCTCAGTAGTGAGACCAGGGGCGTCACCAGACCAAATTGAAATTGGGGGGGGGGGGGGGTGCCGAAGGACCATGAGTGCTGGAAGCTATTAACAAGGGATGTTTTTTTCAGTCAAAAAGTTTTTTGGGTGGGAACTGGTCACAATCTGACTGTTGGGGACGCTGTTCAAAGCGGATGATCTCGAACACTATAAGACAATAGGTGGCGCTCTTTGCTGCGACATACCTGCCGACGGACACACAAAGAATTTTGCTGACGGAACGATGGAATTCACTGACAAAAATGATTAAGGGAAGGTGTGACACCCCAGGCCCTGCTCCAGCGATGCCCAAGAGCCAGACTGCCCAAAGTGGTGAGGGTGCGTGAGGACCATTTTTGAGGACCATTTTTTGGCCCACTGATGCTCGGGTGCTTTCCTCTTATAATCAAACACGCTGCAGCATTAGATGTTGATCCAGAGGGGGGAGGGGGGGGGTTTGGGGGTCGAAACCTCCCCCCCTCCCTGCTCTGTCACCAATAGTAATAATAAAAAAGATGACATTCTGCGAGGGGTTATTATCTGTATATGACCCCCCATGACCCCCCCCCCCCCCCCGCAAAATTCCTGGATCCACCCCTGAGCATTGTGCACATTCAGGCTGTGTTTTGCAGTTTAGCTTGTACAGTTTACGACCTCCCATGTGGGGTCAACTAAATTTAAATACCTATATGTACACCAAAGGGACGGTGTTTAATGTCTTTGTGAACTTCAGAACTAGTGCAATGAGACCAATGAGACCACAGGAAGTGTACAATCATCTTAAACAGTACAACCCACACAACCTTGTGTGCATTGAGGTCATATGCCTGTTCTTATAAATGAGGTTTTCTGATCTAAACTCCGACAACTCTAAGTAGTCTTATCCAACTCCGATCGCTTCTCGGCCTTTTGGCTAAGATCATTGCACCTCGGTCTTAGTCCTGGTCAGGAATATCAGGAGGTGGTCCAGACTCGGCATTGCACTTTGCCTTGAGACTGTAAGGCTTCTCCCCCGAAGTGGTCCCCGGCTTGCGTGGTGACGGTTTTCCGTGTGCTGCCTCGCATGGGTGATTTTGTTTAGGCATGAAGTTGCCTTTGTTTAGGCGTGAAGTCGCCTTTTGTGTTATATGTGTAGGCGTGAAGTCGCCTTTGTATGTTGTTTTGTCCCGGGCAGGAGGGTTCGCAACCCTACTAGCTTGGTCCGACGTGGTCGGCCTGCCTGGTCCCCCACTTGTGGTCTTGTGGGGGGGCCATAAAAAATAAGTCTTATCCAACTCCAGAAATAAAAAGAAATTTACTTCAACCAGGGCCATTCGAAAGCACTGCATCTGTGCTTGTTGCTGATCCCAATATTTTTGGGTGCTTGGGCAGGGGGAGGGGGGGGGGGGGGGTCGCTGAAGGTAATTGTTATAATGGAAAACAGTTTAATGACTGAGTCATCAGATTCCCAAGAGTTAAGAAGTGGGAATGGATACTCCTCCCTAGAGACTTTTCCTTCCTGTAGCAGAGAGAGGACAGAATGAAGGTTGCTATCACTGACATGGCTGCCATGATACGTGACAGTTGATTGGAGGCGCATTGCAAGCATAAGGCTGCTTCCACGCTGTAATTTGAGACTTGTAAGTTTGCTTGTTCATGTGCAGCCTCATGGGGTTTGGCTAACTTCGATGTTCCGAGGAAACTCGGTCTATTATCTCACCTGATATCATTTGCAGCACATTTCCTCATGATCTCCAACTAACCGCTCGTTCAATCTATAAACAGTGACACCAGAGCGAAACTACATGCACAAAGAACTTAAGGCATTTAGGGGTAATAAGCTGAAGCCAATGTTGGTAATGATCTGCCTTTAAAAAGTAAACTTGTCCGAGTTTAGATTCAGTTTATAGCATGCCTTTCTTTATTTTTTACATCCTTGGATGCACACCTGTCCCGCATGTTTGGCCTTAAACTCTCCAAATCCTCCTGGCTGAAGGTAATAGGATCATTTGCATTTATCCCAAAAGTAACCTGGCAAATTATTATCAAAAAACTTACTTGGATTATAAGAAAGATTGTACTGGTACTAAACACCCCGTGATATTGTTACGTTTGTTTTGCTGTCATTTAGAAGAAATCCAGAAATGTAAGTGATTTCCAACAATCAGTCAATTGACTGATTTTTGGAAATAGAGAGCCCTTTTGACGAAATGCGTTTCCTGATTGAAAGGTTGTATTTTCTCTGATTTCTCGAAAAGTGTAATATCCACTGAAATGAAACTTCAGCAGTTTAGGAGTTGAACAGTCTTCTTTGGATTATGAGAGGTGTTATTATTGGAAACTAACAAAATACATGAAAAGTCAATTATCCTTTGTACCTTTAGCTCCAAAAAAAGTTTGGTTTGAAGACTGTCCTAAGTTCCTAACCCTTTTGTATAGGACTTAACAGAAAATGAACTTGCAAACTGACATTGAGAATGAACAAGGTCATCAGTATCTGTGGGTCATGGTCTGGATGGCTCTTGCCACGGCTTCCCAAGCAATGACTTAGGATAGGATGACAGGTCATTGCTGGTCAACATGTGGATTCACTTGCCAGTTCCTACCTTTCCCGTCAACTGGATTCTCTCCAGATCATGTTTTTGCTGGGTTTTTCCTTCTGTTTCGTACAAAAATGATTAACTTTGATTAAAAGAATTGAATATCTGACCTGACGCCCAAAAAAATGAGCTGCAAGTCGGAAATTTCCACTTTGCAGTAAAAGTGGGGCAAAGCCAAAATGTGAAGGGGTGGTCAATTTTTTTTTTTTTTTTTTTCAGATGAACCTTAATCTGTTAGTCCTGTTCGACCTTTCCCCATTTTTTTTTTGTTCTGTCAAACAGCTTTAAAACCTATTGTCATCCTGTTGTAATTAGTTTAGCGTTTATTCACTGTAATACAGCCTGTCTAAAAAAAAATTGTACAATCAGAAAAAAAATTGGTTAAATATTTCAAAATAAGTCATTCTAACTTGGCATAATATTAAAGAACAAAGACTGGGCTTTCCAATAGTGTTTGTTTGATCTTATTTGCTTTTGTCAATTCAGAGATATAATCAATTTAGTGCGATACACCAAAATTTTGTGCCACTTTTATGCATGGGCAGAGTTGTTTCGAGTACTGTGCCATGCTGTCTTGAAGCTCACAAAAGATTGCAACTTGGCAAAAGAAACAAACTCGATTTTTGTGTTCCGCAGTAAACTGGAGTTATCTCTGGATTGACAAAAGCAAATGAGATGAAACAAAAAGTATTGAAAAGCCTGGGCTTTTTTCTTTAATGTGATGCTCAAAACGACTTACTTATGTTGAGATTTAATATTGAAAAAAAATTTTGGAGACATTTTTTTGGAGACAGGCTGTATAACACCAAATACCATTTTCTTAAAAAAGTAGTTTTACAACCTCAATATAGTTGGCGGTCTACATTTCTGTTACTGAACTCGGTACCTGCAAATGTAATATACCATTAGAAAGCGCTTGTTCTGCAGAATCAAGAAATAAATACATCCCAATCCTTGACAAATCTGACCATGTGCTCATTTTGTGGTGTTGAGTCACACAAGAAAAAAGGAATATCCCATATTTGCCCAAATTTAACCTTCTTGTTTCCTCCCGACAGCTCCGACGCTGAGTCCACAGAACGTTGATCTGATAGCGACCAATCAGACAGCTATCCTGCTAACTTGGGAGGTGAGTGTTTGATGTTTACACAGGCAACGCTGCGCGCTTAGCAATATCCTCTGCCAGTAAGCCCCAGGGACCAGTGACATAAGCCTTTAATTTTTCTAAAATGTAACCAAGGTGATGGTAAAAACCGAAGGAGTAAAATCTTACCAGTGTCCGCACTTGGACTTTTGACTCGGAATTATTTTATCGCGACTGTGACTAAAGGAACTGATCTTGGCATACACACGTGTCCATGCTTACAGTCTCCATGAAATAGATTGTTAGCAGAAATTTGTGTGCTAAGCAGTGCTATGAAATTGGGCCCAGGTTGCTCTTGTACGGCTTTACGATTGAGGATAGACACACAAAGGGAGAACAAAAGATCCTTTCAGTCCTCGAGCGTTGGGTCTTTTGTTGAAAAATGGTCCTCGATCGCATGTCTATGTGCTTAGTCTATATTACAGGGACAAAGGGAAACACAAAGCATTGTCCTCGAGAGCATAGAAATTCACGACTGTGTGTTCCATGATGTATGATATGTTGGCAAGCTGTCATTGTATAGATTCCATGCCCAAGTAGGCCTACTCCCTCAACGATTACAAAGGGAGAGTTGGGGGGCACCCCTGGGAGGGACATTTGAACGCATGTTGCCGACGGCGCCTGACACTTACGTGAGGACACTTCATGGCTTTGTGCAAATACACAATAAAATAAGTCGAGCGTAGTTCATGAGCGCAAACCAGTACGCGCAAGTGATGTGCCCTTGCCACTGGAGCTCTCGAACGTGGTCATAAAAGTGCCAACAACAGTTCATTACAACAAAAGTTTATTACACCAAATTATTAAAGGGTTCTATGTAGAAAAGCTGGCCTAGTTTTTGCCAATCAGACACTATGGACTGCTGTGAAAAACAATCTGCCCTTGGTTTTTCGGTGCACACACAAAGTGCACTCCCTTATCCTAATTGCCATCTAGGCTACACCTCTAATCGTATGTTCCGAGCTTGTATCCCCCTCCCTCTTGCTTTGTTTGTGGACAATTAGACACTATGGACCGTTGTGAAAACAATCCGCCCTTGGTTTTTCGGTGTACAAAGCAAGTGCACCCTTTATCCTAATTGCCATCTAGGCTACGTCTCCTCTTATCGTATGTTCTGAGCTTGTATCCCCGCTCCCACTTGCTTCATTTGTGGACAATCAGATACTATGGACCGTTGTGAAAACAATGTGCCCTTGGTTTCTCGGTGCACACAGCAAGTGCACTCCTGTATCCTAATTGCCATCTAGGCTACGTCTCCTCTTATCGTATGTTCCGAGCTTGTATCCCCCTCCCTCTTGCTTTGTTTGTGGACAATTAGACACTACGGACCGCTGTGAAAACAATCCGCCCTTGGTTTTTCGGTGCACATAGCAAGTGCACTCCCTTATCCTAATTGCCATCTAGGCTACGTCTCCTCTTATCGTATGTCCCGAGCATGTATCCCCCTCCCTCTTGCTTCGGAGGGATTAGTCATAGCTAAGGCAAAACTTCCTGCTATGTGCCGATTGATTGATAAGATCTGTGAGCTCGTGAATACAGTGGCATGATCAGCACCCACTCCCCTGTGGGGCTCTGAACGGCTCCAGTATGGCTTACAGTGACCCCTCCAGAGCCTGGAGCTCGCAGGCAGCTGTCATCCCCTTGGGTTAATGACTCGGAAGGGATGGGACTATCTGTACTGACGTATTTGGTGGCATAGTCTGTCTCAGATTCAGGAACTCTGATAAAAGAAATACTACCGTCGGAGCGATTACCGCCAAAGTTTGATAACAGACCATCACTCAAACAAACAACAATCATAGAGGAATTGTGTGATACTGTTTCTGGCAACATAGACTGATGTTATTGATAAATCTAAGTAATCCAACTCCAGAGGTCTAGTCGAACATCATCAAAAGACAAACAACAAGTCCATGACAAGTCAAATCCCACGTAAGGTCACAAATAACAGGGGATGAACAATGACAAAGGAATGCCGTTGACACAGTTCGTTCATTATGCACGTGAGGACCTGACAACTCAGTCATATCAGAGCTGCCAACTCTCCTGGGTTTTGCGGAAGACTCTCGGATATTGATCAATCTCCTGACATCTCAACACATCTAAATTCGCCCAGATTTATTTAATTCCAAGTGCACTTGAAACAGTTTTGTAGAATCAAAAAATGTCAAGTTTGCATTTCACTCAGCTCGTATTTTATAGCGACCTAATATTGTGCGAAATAACCTCGTACAGAAACACAGTTACCGGTACCTTGCAGCAGCAAAGCGAGCAACGAATGGTTCTGAGGTGGCAGTCAGCATTCACATTAGTCTGGCTCCACTTGTTTTATGTCATGTTACAGTATAGGTAATCAGTCCAGCTTCCAAGCGAACGGCGAAAGCACATTTTACGAACTAACGTTCTTAAAGACGATTGCTAACTTCCTATGTTGGCAGCTCTGTCATATACTTCTTCAAAGCAGTCAAATAAAGTTGAAGCTAGTAACTTAAACAGAATGCTTTCAAGATGATGGCATAAATAATTAGGTTTTTAAAGCATTTAACAATTAGATGTCTTTAAAGGGATAATTATAATATTGATTTTGAAAGTTTCTAAGAATGTCTTCTTTGTATGATATGCCATCTAGATGTTAAGCAGGATTGGAACTTTCTCTTTGAACTTGCTTTTCAGAAGGTCATAAATGAAAGGCACAGGGTGGACACATGTTCCCCAAAACTTAATCCCCCAGGTTAAATATACACACTACTGCATGGAATGATTCCCAGAGACCTTTAGGCCATCTGGCCTCGATCAGTTATAAATTTCCTGAACTGGAGATGGATATCGATCGTTTGCCGACTAACTGGTAGTCACGTGTGGCAAGTGATGATGCGTACCTATATTCCGTCTCTCTCGATTGCACGTTGTATCAGTCGGCTGTAATTACGCGCGAAAGCCGAAAAAACAACCTGAACCCTTTTAAATCAATTTTGACAATCTCCGACTCACCGTGACTCTGGTTTCGTCAGGAAGTGTGTGGGATCCTGCAGCCAAGGTATCAAACTACACAGAGTAGCTGGCGGTGAAACGGGAGAAGGTGTATCGAATTTCGTTCGGTTAATTGTATCCAACGGGCAGCTGAATTGCTTTCAAGTGTCGATCCTGTCCCAAGATGCCTGTAGTCCTTTAACATGCTAACTCCCGCCATTGCTAATTACGTGCTGATGGAAATGTGAAGAAAATGTGCGAACAGTCGCCGACAGTAAAGGGTGGAAGTCCTGTACAATTTTTTTTTGTACATGATGGAACATGATGCTTGTGTTCTTGAGCAAGAACCTTTACTACAATTGCCTCTCTCCACCCATGAGTAAGAACGGGTACCTGTGAGAGTAGAAACCATTTTTTTAATCCCAGGCCCTTCTCAACCCCTGTTCAGGGGAACATGGTGCTTGTGTTCTTGGGCAAGACACTGTATTACGATTGCCTCTCTCCACCCAGGAGTAAAAATGGGTACCTGTGAGGGTAGAAACCATTTTTTTTATCCCGGCTCCTCCTCTATCCCTGCTCAGGGGAAACATGGTGCTTGTGTTCTTTGGCAAGACGCTTGACTACGATTGCCTCTCTCCACCCAGGAGTAAGAGAGAGCACCTGTGAGGGTAGAAACCATTTTTTTTTAATCCCGGGCCCTCCTCAACCTCTGCTAAGGGGAACATGGTGCTTGTGTTCTTGGGAAAGACACTTTACTACGATTGCCTCTCTCCACCCAGGAGTAAGAATAGGTACTTGTGAGGGTAGAAACCATTTTTTTTTTATCCCGGGCCCTCCTCAACCTCTACTATTAGGGGAACATGGTGCTTGTGTTCTTGGGAAAGAGACTTTACTCCGATTGCCTCTCTGCTCCCAGGAGTAAAAATGGGTACCTGTGAGGGTAGAGACCATGTTTTTTTTTTTATCCCAGCTCCTCCTCCACCCCTGCTCAGGGGAAACATGGTGCTTGTGTTCTTTGGCAAGACACTTTACTCCAATTGCCTCTGTGTACCCAGGAGTGAGATTGGGTTCCTGTGAGGGTAGAGACCAAGATTTTGTCTATTCTGGCTCCTCCTCAACCCCTGCTCAGGGGAACATGGTGATTGTGTTCTTGGGCAAGACACTTTACTCTAATTGCCTCTCTAGCTCTCCACCCAGGTACCTGTGAGGGTAGAGACCAGATTGCACTGATCTCAAGCTGCTGCAGAGAACTGGTCTCATAGCCTGATGAACAGGGGCAATAATTGTGAAGCACTCTGAGACTGGTATGACTCTGTATAAGCACCGCATTATTATTAAGTCCGTTTGGTATTTTACCACTGACAAAATTGTTTTAAGAAATTCTTTATATGCCAGCATCTGGAAAAAATGTTACATAAACCAGAACGTTAGGGTTGGCTTTAAAAGCAATCGTTAGACATTTTACAACCCATAAGCATGACTAAAATCCGCTAACGTCTAAAAATAAGTGTAGAAGGCAGTATGTGCTGTCAATTTATGTGAAGTGGAAGCTTCTCGTAAAATCCCTCCTAAAATCCTAAATATAGAATGCACAGCTTGAAACGTTTCATCCCAGCTGTGATCACATGCAGGTGGCCATTACACAGGTCTTATGTACAGTCACATATTACGCATCAGGTGATATAATCAGTGATGAAACACTCTCGAAATGGTGACAGAAAAGCTAGAGACTTTTGCAACAATCTGAGAATATTTAGAATGATCTTTACTCCCAAGGCACAGGATCCAAGTTATTGCCTCCCCGCTAACAGCAACCTGCAGTTCTCTTGAATGTGAAAGGAGCTGACTTTCCCGAAAGGCAGATGGGATCATTTTCTTTTCATGCATTTTGTTGGTTTCCAATAATACCACCACTCAAATTTCAAAGAACATTGTTCTAAACCTAACCTGTTGAAGTTTTGGCTCAGTGGATATTACACTTTTTGAGAAAACAATGAAAAACCATGCACAAACGT